TACAAAAAACTCAGTTGTGAGGAATTTCCCCATGAGAGATGGTACATGTTTTTTGAAACACCCTGTATATTGTAATAGAATTGAAATTTATAATAGATACGATTTTTTAAGCAAAAATTTCAAAAGTTTACATGTGATATGTCATTCTATACAGAGTGTCACTTTCTATCAAATAAAGCCAAAAAAAATAGCCAAGGGGCGCTATTCTGTACACGGCCTCGATAATTGTCGGTATCTGTGAGTTCTTGTATATAGTAAATATATATTCTCGGTACGTATTTGTATATAGTAAATATGTGTTTATTGTTGTTGTCATAGTTACCGATCGGCCCTATACCTATGGCAGATATCGCAAATTTGTACCGATGAGGATCGGATCGGTATCTCTACCGTCCTCTTGTTAACCCCACGGTAGAGATACCGATAGTCATCCGTACAAATTTGCTATATGTCCTATTAGTGACAGCTAAAAACTATGACAACAACAGTTAACACGACGCTCATTGGTACCGATAGCTGACGGTAACTTACCGATACCGATGATTGTACAGAATAGCGCCCCCATTTAAAAATGCAAGTTTGTAGTGATTTTCAGTAAAACAAAAAGTGGCCAAAATGAATTTAATAGGTCAATCAAACCTAATTTATGTCATATACTAACATGCAAAATCTCGTTTTTTAATTTGAAAAATAAAAAACTTAAGCTTATATGGAGTAAGTCACTTTTGAGAAACACCTGGTACTGTGGTAAAAAAATTATGAGATAATCGAGAAAATAAAAAGTATAGTACCAAAATTTAGTGGAATGATCTATCGACATTTTCTCTCCGCGACCTCTCCCCCCGCCCTCCACTCCTACGTCTGTTCGACATTTTGATAACGGCGTTAGTCGTCCGCGCGAACACGTTAATAATGACAGCCGGGTGATAGATTCCGCCATCTTGCATTAATAACCGATGCGGTGACGCGTTTGTCTGCATCGTTCCGCGGCCGGCGCCAATTTATCACCGCGCGTCTGCTGCATTGACAGTCGGCGAACGACCCGCACGTCCCGTCACACGTCACGTTCACTCCCAAAGATAATTCGGACGCCATGATTTAGTCTAGTTTTAATAGCGCAATGGCGTACCAGACAAGGCGGGATTAGAGAATATGGTATTTTGATTGAGCTTTCATTTCGTTCAAGAAGATATTTACTTTGATAAAATGCTCACTTGGACATGGATATTTCGCCACTAAAAGTACAAGTTGTAGAGTTCTTTTTCGTTTTTAGGGTTTATTTTCATAAAAATGTGTCAATAAATTCATCAGGGACGTGCATATGGGTTATCAATGTGTGCCACTGACTTTTTTCTTTTCATATCATAATTGTGCAGGCCGTTTGATATTTTGTCCAATTCGGCCTCCTTGATGAAATAAACGCAATAGTTATTATTAGCATTAGTCCAACATACAGCAATTTCAAATAAAAAAATAATGGTATTTAAGATAATTACAAAAAAACTAATTTTAAAAAGTTTTAACATCCTGTAACTCTAAGACTATGCATTTTCATAATCATGTTTTTGAACTTTTTTTCATATTTTTTGATGAGGAATCAATGAGTACTTATTTAAAACTTTCGCAAGTTAATGATATTAAATTTTTTTAAAGGTTGTTATTAGACATGGATCAAGGCTTCTTCTTCTTTCAGTGCCTATCCTCTATGGATGTTGGCAATCATGTTGGTCCACAAACCCTATTGACAGCCGCCCTAAATAGATGTACGGTCGTCATTCCCGTCCACTGTATAACATTTTTCAGCCATGATGTTCGTCGGCGTCCCTGACCTTTTCTACTATCTATTTTGCCCTGCAGTATCAGTTGGATAAGTTGGTATTTATCACTACGCATCACATGCCCAAGGTATGCCATTTTTCTCACTTTCACACTATGTACTATTTCTAGTTCCTTTTGCATTCTCTGGATCACGGTGTTGTTTGTGATATGGTAAGTGTTTGAGATCCTGAGCATGTGGCGATAGTACCACATTTCAAAGGCTTCCAAGCGTTTAGATGTAGCATCTGTCAGGGTCTTGTAATATATCTAGAAATTCATTTACCCACTAGTAGATATAAAAATCATTTTTGGTAAACTCTGTCTCAAATAGTTTCTGAAAAATAAAATTAATTTTCTTAAAAAAGTCCGATTAAAGTAGGTATTAGGACACTTTGGACAGACAGACCGTGACGTCATCACCCGTGACGTCATCAGTGACGTCATCATCCGTGACATCATCAATGACGTCATCGTTCGTGACGTCATCAGTGACGTCATCACCCGTGACGTATAATAATGACGTCATCATCTGTCAAACCTCAAATACGTCATTTGTCAATACTTTTTTTGCCCCAGGGTATTTTTTTGGGGGGGCCTGTGCCAAAAAAGCCAAACAATGGGCCTGCGCAATGTTGGGGGGGGGGCCTGTGCCAAAAAAGCCTAAACAATGGGCCTGCGCCGGCCTAATCAATTCTTTTTTAAATATTTTTGTCCTTTTTTGCCCCCCAGGGTATTTTTTTCTTTGGGGGGGGGCCTGTGCCAAAAAACCCTAAACAATTGGCCTGCGCCGGCCTAACCAATTCTTTTTTAAATATTTTTGTCCTTTTTTGATATTTATTAATAAAATATGTAACGTTCAAATTTACTATACAGTGTGTATAGAAAATAATGTTTATACTAACAAGTATGTTATTATTTATTATATACTTTTCAATTAAAAAAACACTCGAAAGTTACTATACAGGGTGTATAGAAAATAACGTTTTACTAACAAGTATGTTATTAGGATAATTATATATTTATTAATAAAATATGTAACGTTTAAATTTTATACAGGCCGTATAGAAAATAATGTTTATACTAACATGTTTTACATTATACGGTTTTGTTATTAATATATTTTTTAATAAAAAAACTGGAAAGTTACTATACAAGTTGTACTTATATAAAACTATATTAGATTTTAGTCTAATTGTTTTAATTGTTAATCATTAAAGTATGTAATGTTTGAATGTGAATATATTGAGCTTAATATTTATTAATAAAGAAATGTCACAAAAACCTTTTATTTTTCTTTATACCTATATAAATATTTAAATTCTGTAGATGTATTTTTTTGCGTTTATTTCAAACACTTATTAGTTAAAACTCCAAACTTAGATATGAGACTTTTACTAGATACTTTAATATTTTTCAAACTAAAAATCAATACCGCATCATCGCCTCAACATAGAAACAACTCGGACCGGAGGAATTGATAAGGTTTTTTTTATTTTACGCGTAATTCGCACTAAGTTCGATTTATTTTATTTTTACTTTAATATTTATCGCTAAAACCAAACGACGGTGACGAATAAGCAATCCTCACGTATTGCTTTTACGCTGTTTATTTTTTTCACACAAGGTATATATTCCAAAAATCTTTTTATGTTCTTTTTAATTTTCCCATACTATTTTTTTTTGTTAAATTACCCAGTAACATAGCTAATTAATTTTTTAAACAATATTATAAGTCATCAGTAAGGGAAATGGGTGCTTTGATGATATACATTTTGAATGGATCTTTCATAACGACCGCTACCGCATTAGTATGCACGCGACCTTGTCAGAGAACGAAAGAGCAAGATGAAAGTTTTCTTAGATGTACAGGGCTTCAAAATTACAAATGAGACATTTGTGCCTAAAGAATTGGCAGCCTACAATGGACAACAACAAATATGTCATTATATTTTTAAAAGTCCCTTTCACATGCATCACTTGTCACCTCATTATGCACGGCAAGCGATTTGGTTAATTAATAATTACCATTGTATAAAGTGGAGTGAGGGTTTTACATCGTTGCATGAGTTTCATCCCATCAATAGAAATCTTACAGAAAAAGCCGAATGTGTCTACGTTAAAGGAAAGGAAAAGGCCGATTTTATTAGAAAATATTGCACAAGACCGGTACTAGAGCTGGACGAAAATCGACCTGGTGCTACAATAGCTAAGTTCGGTAATCACATCCAGATGTCGACGGATTTTTTGTCATGTGATCACAGATTGGATGGAGTAACCTGAAATTACCGAACGGTTAGAAATGTTCGGATGGAAAAGTGACAAGTTTGAAATCCCAATTCCCAATTCAAATCCATTCAAATCTTTCAACGTTCAAAGAAAAAAGGACCAGTAATTTATTTTTTGAGATTTCTACGTGATTTTGCATTAAGCAACAAAAATAAGAATAATTACTTAGTTTTTTGGAAATTTAACCTCACTAATTCAAATTAATCTGTTTGCTCCGTCAAAATTCTCCGAGCAAAAAGATCACCGTCCGATTGCTCCGATTTTATTTACCGAACGGTTCAGATTTACTTCCCCTACATCTGGATGTCATAAACGAACGATCGAGATCGATCCGAGCGGTCGGACGTGAATACCGAACTTAGCTAATAAAGGAAACATCACCTTCCTGTTTTTATCATACAAAATCATCCTGTATTTGTGCCTTATCAAATGTATTTAATTTATATAATTGTTTAATACCTAATTATTTTGTTATTGTATATAATAGACATTATTTTAAAAATAAATAAGTAGTTTTATTTAAAAAAGACAACGTTTAACGAAAACAAGTGTCGACTTGTTTAAAATATAAAATCTACGACTTTATAGATTGTATACCAACAATAACAACAATTTTTGTTTTTAGAAAAATTTTTATAGATTTTTTTTATAGAAAAAGAAAAAAAATGTATATAAGATTATAAGTGTAATGTAAAAGTGTAATAAAAATCAGTAAGGTTTTTTTTCTCTGACATTTACAAAGATTCAAGCAAAGGAATATACTAGAATAGAAAAAAAAATCAGGGAAAGGAATATAATTAGCATAAAGATCTAAACTATATAACGCGACAACTTTTAAACGTAAAACTATTCATTTTACATATTGTCTTCACTGCGTGTGATCAGCTAGTATTTTTCTAATTCTATATTATTTTGTTCGGGCCTGTGTGTGTTTTTTATTTTTGCAATATGACTACCATTCCGTGTACTTTACTAATACAAAGTAAAGATAAATTTAATTTTCCTACTAAAATGCTTTTCGTTGTAACAAAACAATTATTTAGGTAAGTTTTCTTAAAATATTATTAAATAATACATTTTATATACATTATTTAGCTATGGTATCAAGGATATTTCCATTAAAAAAAATATGGTTTTTGTTGCCCTTACATACACCCCAAAAAATACAACACTGCAAAAAAAAATTGGGAATTTGCCAGTTAGATACGCAAGATTGAAAATCGACGATGAAATGGAATTAAAAATGCTTGAAAAAGCCTGGCACGATTATAAATTTAATTTAACTGATGAGGAGGAACCCTCCAACGCTGTAATAGCAAATGAAAAAAGTAAGTTATAAAAAACTGAAAATTTATAAAATATCTTTATTAACACTTTCTAGATATTATATCTATGCTATGTGATAGATTTGCTATGCTATATCTATCACCGTCATCACCAACACCACCACCACAAACATCAACGTCCCGCCAAGAAATTTCCGAGTCTGAAATGACTTATATCGGCGACAAAAACAATAGTGAGGATCATCACTCATCAAATTCAAAAAAAAAACGGAAACATGATGGAGGAGATATAAAGAAAAATAAGAAAATGGCACAATTTGTAGACCCTATTTTTATTATTGAAGGTGAAGAGGGTAGCTACGAAGGCGGCGGCGGCGGCAACAGTCAGGAATCGCAAAGATTTTTTTAAAATAACTGTTTTCTCTCTCTTCTTGAAGGCAATGTATAATAAAACTGAATTAAATATACCGATTTAAAATTATAATTGCATTTTATTTAAATATGGGTAAGGGTGTGAGAAACTGGATATACCTATCGGAAAATATCCCTCTTAGACACAGAATAAAATTATTTATATGAAAATCTAGGTAAGTGATGTTCAGTTTTAATCAACTTTTAATTTAAAACGTTACAATCAAAAACAAAAAAAATGTCTCAGGAAATAAATGTCAATAATTAAAAAATATTTCTCTTGTAAACACAAATCGGGGGCATACTGTATATAGTATATACTTTTACCTGTCCTAAAACTGGTCCTTTCCAATTTGTAGTACTTTTCCAATGCTCACAAAAATAACTCACCTGTCACAATTAAAGAGAGATAGTACATAGAAGGTTGTTAAAGAGATTGAACTTGGTACTGTCCACATGAAGGCTACAGTTACACAAAAATATGTATATTTTTTCAATATACTCGTAGTATATCAATCACTATTAATTATTATAATTATGTGAATATTCGATTTTGTTTGAAATGTAAGAAATTATAATATAAAATTATTAGATTTTACTACAAAAATATTATCAATATTATTAATTTAATGTGCGATATATTGATTGATTTTCGGATTCTGAAAAAAATAAAGGTGTGTTTCATTAAAGAAGCATATGTGACTAAAATATCAGGTTTTAAACATATTTAACATTGTCTGTAAATAAACTCAATTAAAACCACCTAAATGGTAATTTACCCTGTATAGCCTCATATTTAGTTAAAATATCCATTTTCTCTATGTTAATACAAATTAAAATTTTACCCGGAAAGTCACACAGAATGAGACAAAATTAATATTGAACATTATGCACTTTTAATAGTAAGTTATTCTTTTATTTTAAATAGAACACCCAGCATTTTATTCAGTTATTCAATGGAGAATTCATATTTCTTCGAAATACGATTATTAGGGTTGCCTACCCATTAGACAAGATTTTCTTAGACATTTTTATGAACACATAGGCAGTTTTCGGCTTTCCCCTTGGGCGTTTCCCCAACTGTACAGGAAGTATATTATGAGCATGCGCCGCACTAGGAAAAATGATAAAGAGTATTCCTTAAAACTGTTAAATGTCTGCAAAATTAGATAAAAACAAATAAAGATTTTATAGAAGAACAATGTATCTTGTGTAATTGTTATTATTAAACCTTTTGTTAATAGTATTTTAATCGATTTTTTCCGTACATCACGAATTTTCAAGTTATTTTAAATTGCACCCTATATTTTTCTGTAGATAATTGGATTCTGCATATAGAGGACTATTTTTTATTTGAAGCACTATGCGGTGTTGCCATTGTATTTCTTATTTACTAAAATTGTGTTTAAAAGCATGATATCTGAAAAGTGGTTAAAAACTAGATTGTATATTTAACTTTATTAATACTTTTCTATATTTTCCTAGCACTAAAGGTAACAGAATAAATCCAAGAAGGAAAATTTACATTATCCTATACAGGGTATTTTTTATGTCGTCACCAATAACGAAATATTTGAAGTGTTTTATCTCTATTTTTTAAATGCAACACCCCGTATATTATTTTCTTTTAGCGCAATTAAAAAAAACTTAAGACTTTAACGCAACGCGCCCGCCCAGCATTCATTTAATTTCTGCGTCTCGTATGATAATTAAAAAGTGAAAGGCTACCGTTAAGTTTATTTGCATAAGTAATTGGCTTTGTTAGGCTGGGCACATCTTATGCAACTTGCCTCTCTAATCGAGCGAGCGACTGGTAGTAGGTACGATCTAGTCACTTACTTGTATTAATCGTGATAATAGGTTGTTGTTGTCGTCGTCGTCGTCGTAGTCGTTAGAGTTAACGCGATGTCTGTTTTAAAGTTTAAAAAGGTGTCATCGGATGCGTTCGTTCCTGTTAGAGCAACCCCATTATCAGCGGGATTGGATTTATTTAGTCCTCTCGATTGTACAATCGCCCCACAATCAAAATTATTGATAAATACGGGACTGCAAGTGGAAATTCCTGGAGGATCTTTTTTGAAGATTGAACCTCGGTCAAGTTTGGCTTTGAACTATTCCATTCTTTGTGGAGGTAAATTTTGCCACTAATAAAATATTGATTATTTATTTTTTTTTGTTTTCTCTTTATTCCAGCTGGTGTTATTGATGAAGACTATCGGGGCGAAGTTAAAATTTTGTTATTTAATATTAGTAATAAAAAGTTTGAAATTAAACGGGGGGACCGAATAGCACAGATGATTTGCCATAAAATTGAGTATCCCTCGCTGATTGAATGTACCGATATGTCAATAGAAACTGTTCGAGGCACAAAGGGTTTTGGATCTTCATAAAAAAAAATGTTTTTAAGGTAATTAATATTTTTGTGTAATATTTTCAAATTATATGAAAAAAAAAATAAACAAACATTCACTGAAAACAATTTAATATTTTATTTCTTAAAAAACTACTTTTCTACCTAAACAATATCTATAGTCTGCTTTAATAAATATTCTTTTACTTTTGCCTTTAATAAATATTTTTTTATTTTTTGGTTTTGATGATTATTTTCAATGTTTATTTAATAAGACTATTTTGAAAACAAGTCAAAATTTAATAAAATCCGAGAAACATCATGTCTATAGTGTTACACAGAAAAAAATTGTCTTGAGTCCTTATGACGATAAAAGAATAATTAATTCTATTTATACCGACACATTTGCATGGGAATGAATCATAAAAACTGAAATATTAAATTAATAATAATTATATAATCTTCAATAATTTTAATTACCTTAAACCCCACTATGATTCATTTAACTAATACTATAAATGTTAGTATACATTATTAAATTTTTATTTTAACATTTTCCTAACAAAACTATTTTTTTTATTTTTTGATAGATGAAGACAATAATAATCCTTCCTCATCCTTCCTTCCTCAATGCCGTGACCAATTATATTTGGGGAATATGCACTTTGTCCATACAACCAAAGCCACCAGGTGTTGAAGTCGCGCATTTTAAATCATATGTTGAAGTACAAAAAGACAGAAGAAAATTATAATAGCGACTTCAACGAGGCATTGAGGACCAATCAATTAGAGCCATTAAGATCCACCGCCGCCGTTCCTTTCAAGAAATGAAAGGAAAAATTGGCTGGTCAATATAAAACAAGAAATTAAGGTATTACTAAAAATATAAAAATAATTATTTTAAAAAATAACTAACAATATTTTTTCTTTCAGATCGGTGTTTAATATAAAATAATAATTATAAAAACATATGTTAAATAAATGCGTATTACAAAAATATGTTGTTGTTTCCTTAAAAATACTTATAATATATGATCTTGAATAACCTGGACAGAAAATTATGTTATTAAGTTGTTTCTCACGCACTTGAAATATAGAATCTAAAGAATTAATTATCAGGCTGGGCGAGCGCGTTGCGTAAGAGTATATTCCATATACGGGGTGAGCAAATAATAATATGTTTGGGGACTTTTTTATTATTTATGTATATTTTTTTGGTGGAATTGGTTAGGCCGCATTGCGCAGGCCCATTGTTTAGGCTTTTTTTGGCACAGGCCCCCCCCCCCAAAAAAAAACCTGGGGGGCAAAAAAGGACAAAAATATTTAAAAAAGAATTGGTTAGGCCGGCGCAGGCCAATTGTTTAGGGTTTTTTGGCACAGGCCCCCCCCCAAAGAAAAAAATACCCTGGGGGGCAAAAAAGGACAAAATATTTAAAAAGAATTGATTAGGCCGGCGCAGGCCCATTGTTTAGGCTTTTTGGCACAGGCCCCCCCAACATTGCGCAGGCCCATTGTTTGGCTTTTTGGCACAGGCCCCCAAAAAAATACCCTGGGGCAAAAAGTATTGACAAATGACGTATTTGAGGTTTGACAGATGATGACGTCATTATTATACGTCACGGGTGATGACGTCACTGATGACGTCACGAACGATGACGTCATTGATGATGTCACGGATGATGACGTCACTGATGACGTCACGGGTGATGACGTCACGGTCTGTCTGTCCAAAGTGTCCTAATACCTACTAGGCTGGAGGATATGTCTCCATTTTCTCTACCTGTTTAGCTTGGTCTCTTCTTAGACCTGATACCGGTGTTGTCCCGAATCTATAGTAAAGAGTGTATCCCTCTTTCTCTATTGCCTCCTTGGATTTGAGGTCAATTCCTATTGTGAGGACTTGGCCGTGGCCCTCCTCCCTCGAGTTGATGATTCGCCAACACGACGTCCTTACATCGGAGTTCTGACCCTGGATAAGGTTCAGCAGGTCTTTCCCTTTGCTCAAGGTCTTTCCCTTTGCTCCTTGGCAAATAGACCGTGATGGTCGCCTCCTTATGGATGTTTTCTCCCTTCAGAGCAACCAGTCCCGGCCCCTGCCAATTCTTAAGTTTAGGTGCCGTTTCTATCAACCAATCCGCCGATTCTGGAGATACACAGTCTATGAGGAGCATGCCCACCCGAAAGTGAATCCCCGCAAATCGCATTTGACCCACATTTTGTCCGTCGTTGTGTTGCTCTCCAATCGCCACTACTTCGTCCAGTATCGCCTCTTCTAGAGCCGTTTGCTGGTCGGTGGTCAGTACAACCTCTGGGTAATCCTTTGGTAGCACTGCCATTTTCACTTGTCCAGCAATAGAGGCAAAGCTGGTGATATGTCCCTGCTTGCCTCTCGGTGTTGGACGTCTTTCCATCCTGGCTTTTTTCTCTTCTTGCCGGAGCAGAGGTGAAAGGTTTTCGTTCCCTCTTTTGCCCTTTGGTGAAGATGCGCCGGCCTGTTTCTTGGTTCCTTTGCCCTCCCCTCTATGGAGGAGTACTTTCTCTTTTGCTTCCTCTGGAGCAAGTCCTGCGTGGAGCAGTCGGAGGTATCTCCGTGCTTCTGCTCCGCTAAGACCCACTCTCAGCGGATCGTCCAACCCGCCTGGTTGACCCAGGCCAGGTAGACTAAACGGTAGTCTGTGTCGCCTGTTGGGTTTAGAGGTAAGCTCCCGACCCTTGCTAA